CATTAATTAAGGAGACTATGTTAGAAGTTTCATAAGATATTCCAAGTGAGCAGCAGAATGATAAAAAAAAGAATAAAGTGAATCCCAAAACAATCTCACCATTATGTTTTTTTACTACTTCAGGATTTTTTAAGTCCGCGGGGCTCTTGGTCATTGTTTTCAGGTGCCAGGGGACTAGCATGTCAGTCGCTATGAATTCGGTACCATTCACATGAATAGGTAGGTTGAAGGTTCTGTCCATGGAAGGCGATTTCGGGCTGCTCAATAAAATAGAAACTAGATTGTCTCTTTTTCTATTGGAATTCGAGCCAATCTTGTTAGATAGAGAGTTTGGTGTTGAATCTGAAGCTGATGCTTTAAATTTCTGCGCACGCCTTTTGGCTTTCTGCTCAAAACGTAGATAGGCTGAGGCAAGTCCTGGCTCAGAACTCTGAGTAGGTGCATGTTGCTCTTTGGCCCATACCTAAATTTGGGAAGACATTTTGGGGAAAGGTTGTGAAAGCTGAATGTATTGAAGTAAGACAAAAGAAGAGTTGCATCAATGGTATTAAAATTATTTACAGGAGCATGCTTTCTTTCAAGAATAGGAAGGTACTTTAAAATCAATGGAAAAAGATAGTAAACCGAGAAAGGTAAATCTAAAATGCAGAAAGTTCCTAGAATTTAACCAGAAAACCATCAAAAATTGGTTGCCAATCTCTATGATCATACTTAAATGTTTCATAATTGTTTGAGAAATTCGGTGACGTCTTGAAGTAAATGTAATGAAAATATTAGCCCATTGTAAGATTAAATATTTGCTCCTGTCTCTGTGCAACATCTATAAATTAAACTGATGTACAGATTAATTGTACAAAAATTAAACAAATCCTAAGCACTTTTGTGCAGCGACTTTAACTATTAAGCATGAAAAAAGATCTAACAAGCAATGCGTCCATCATTGTAAGGGAAAAATAATCGATATGTCTTCATAAACACTTAAAAACAGCTAAATGAATAGGTAAAGTAAAGCCTAGAGCTACCGTAATGAGTCCACGGCCTCCAGGCCTTAAAAGATAAGCCAGTTCTTTCAAAGCATCGATGCGGCGTTCTTCTGTACAAAAATGATGAATTACCGCAACGCAAATAAAAAAGTCGAAGCTAGCAGGCCGGTATGGTAGAGAGAGCAAATCAGCAACAATAACATCAAACCCTGTAAAAAAAGAATACGCAGGAAAAAGTGAAATAGGATATATTCTGAATAAAAATTCAAATAAAGAGGAAGAAGTCTAATTATCCCCAAGATTTGTTAATGCAATCGACTAGAAAAATGTACATGCGAGCATCAGCAGAATATAGATTTGATAAGTCTTAAGTCGCAGCACAAAAGAATTAGAGATTTAATACAGACGATTTATGAAATTTACATCAAACCAGGGCAGAAGGGGAGATACCACAATCGTTTAGCACACGTTTGGTCAAAGGATCGGCC